TTTTTTTTTTTTTTTCAGCCGTACTTTTACTGCATGAGTTATTTGTTGAAAGGTGGTTTACTTCGATCGAAACCCAACGATCAACAGCCTGACAGAACATTAGCAAATCGTAACCTTGATTATCCGTCTTTTATTGGAATCGGTTGGTATTTGTTAGCATCTTCAGAACACATTATCTTTTGACTATTGAAAAATACCATTATTACTAAAAGCAGTCATTTAAAAAGTGCTGACATTATTTTCTCAAAATTTTTTTGTTATACTTTTAAAATGTTAAAAAACGAGTCGTCGCTTGTGCCGTGGAAAAATTCATCAGATAAATGACATTCAAATAATTGAAAAAAAAAAAAAAAAAATCTTACTAAATTACTGTCTAGAATTTTGAAACCTTTTAGTGATAGCTGCCAATTTTTGCAAACACTTAACACAGTTTTATCTTATAAAAATTTTTTTTCCAGCTAGTCTGTTAAGCTTACCGCTTAGCATATTCTATGTTGTTCCTAATTTTTTTACTGTTCTCAATGGTCCCGAATCGATAATCTCATATGCCATTGCAGCATTTGTTATTCTTATATCAGGTAAACTAATTACGATTTTACAGCTGCAAAAAAGGGAGAAATGTTAAAAAATTTTGAAAAAATGATAAGTTATGGTATGCAACAAAACTATCATAGAATAATCATTTTAAGCATATCACTTCAAAGAACTTTTTCGATTATTTCCAAAAAGTTGCGTACTCTATGAGGCTACCTATTTGGTTTATGGCGAATTTGTTGCACATTTGACCGGATGGATGTATATTTTTGACTCAGTCATATATACTGTTATTATCGCAAAATTGTGGAGCACTTATGCGGTAAAATTTTTACTAAACTTAAAAAACTTTAACAGTTGTAACAAAACATCAAATTTTTATCGCTTCTAAAAAAATTAAATAATTCAACTGAAGGCTTTAAATTGTTCCCCAATACGATATCACAGCTTATTAACAATTTTTGTATCTTTTAAATCTCTTTTAACAAACAGAGATTATTCAAAGCCCTTAAAAAAGCAATAGTATTGTATGCACCCCAAAAAAGTTATCAGTTTCAGCGAACATTCAGATGCTAAACTGCAAAGCAGTTAATGACAAAAAAAAATTCCGGAAGATAAATACTGAATATTATCCATCACTCATGAAAAATCTGTACAGCTAACATTAATGCTTATTTTAGGATTCTTTTTTTCGACAGCTGTTAAGGCCACCATTTTTAATCGATTATCAAGGAATAATCAATTTTCCATATATAGAAAAATCTTATGACTGCTTGTCCTTAGCCGCAGTAGTAGTATCATCGTTGGCGTCTTTATGTGAATACCAAGTGACTTTTTCACCGTTCTTTAGATTTTTGTTAAAAATATTTGTTAAAAGATGTGTATTTTCATAAAATGCATCGTTAACTGATCTTAAAAAGCCAAATAGACATCATAGGTTCACTAACTACAACTTTTTTTCCCCCAAAAAATAATGCTTTTTGTTAAAATACTTGATAAATTCCTCTAGTTTAAAAAGGCTTCAATTTATCCAATATTGTTAATAAAAAAGCAATTTGTAATTATACAAAAAAAAAGCTTTAGTTTTTTAGGTTTTTGGTACCGTATCAATTTCAGTTGCAATAGTGATGCTTTTTACTACAATAAGTACATCATTAGTTGGCTATGCGGCCCATAATTTACAACACCTGAGTCTTGAAGAATTGAAATTGAATAATGAGGTAATTACAAAAAAAAAAATTGGCTTAATTTATGCAGCCATAAAAAGTGCTGAAAATTTTTAAATTTAATTAAATTTCAGGTGCTCAGCTGTGCCTCCTATTTCTACTGCTCTTTTTTTGGTATTGAAACACTGAGTATGCTTTATAATGGAACACCAGCAGGAAGAAAACGAATTTTGAAATTACCAATGATCACTTGTTGCTTAACAATAATAATTGTCACCATCGTCTTGATGGTTTATCTGTGTGTTATTGACTCAGAAACTTTGAAAACCACTATAACATTACCAATGGTATATCAGATTGCGAGGAAACCTGCGGCAAAGCAAGACCTTCAAATTACTCATATTCTTCTCTTTGCAAAAGAAAAAAACAGATTGACAATCTCAGTAGTCCTCTTCACTTTTTCTAGAGAAGTTACTCAATCTCCAGAAAATAATTTTTGTCGAATTGCAGTCGTCATGAGATTTAAAAGTACCTCCCCCTCTTTCCTCCCTCACAAAAAAAAAAACGCTTCAATTACAAAGTCTCTTTTAGATACTTTGTGACTGTTGGAGCTGTCTGCGGGCTATCTGGAGCAGTGATAATTGCCGCCATTCCATCTGCAGCAATGTTAGCTGCTTTAACTGAAGATCGACTGGTTCCGCTCTACAGTTCCGCTACTAAGAAAGTAGTAAAAGTGCAAATTGCCCTAGTCATGCTGCTGTCAGGAACCATCCTTGTTTCAGTGAAAGAATCGTTACTTTTCGCTATCATAAGACTGAACAGTAACGTTAGGTTATTAATCCTGGTAAGAAACATCGTTTTTAAATGCAAAAATATAACGAAACAATGACAAAAACATGCAAACTCTTTAGTACATAAAAAAAATGCTCACTTTATCCAATTTCACTATGCAACTTTGGAAATCTTGTCTTTTCAATATATTTCAGGCTTGCTTAGTGGTCAGCACGAGACTAGATGGAGATATTGTAGAATTTGCATACACAACAGAATATTCAAAACTTAATCGTGGAAATTTAAATTCACAATTTCTGTCCTCAGATGCACTAACAGTGTAAGAACTCGCATAAGCAACTTATGATAGTAATCACAAAGTTGTAATACAATTAACAAAACTGAGATGCAATGATTGTGCTTTCTTGTAAATAGTCATTTACAGTAGAAAATGATTTAAAAACACTAATGTCAAATCAACATTAACAGCTAGAGAACCTGTATATTTAAGAAGCACAGTAGATGAAGACGACTGTAGCAGAACGAGAGTGGTATTAGTGGCACATGAAAGAGCGAAGAGCCTGAATAGGACAGAGGTCAAGTATGCTCAGCAAAGTTTAACTAGAACTCAAGAAAGAGACAGAGCAATAAAAAATTTGATCAATTTGTTACTTAAACATGGTTTTTAGAGCGCACGCAGCAACGGTCCAACAATTTGGAAAATACACTCAACCAGTGAAAACAGTATTAAAACAGCTAAGACTTATACGTCAGAAAATTTTTATGGTAGCATCCAGGCTCCAGAACACTGGACTTCCGACCGCATATCTTTAAAGAGTTTCGAAAGACCCGGATTTGGATCCATAGTTAGCTGTTACAACCTGTCTAAACTAAGCCCCACCTTGTTTTCTTCTTTAATGGGTTCTAATCCAATCACTGCTAATCTAAACTGTTAGTAACTTCTGCAGAATTATAGAGAAAGTGTGGAAGCAACCTGCCGTCAGACTTCGGTTTCGGAGAGGACGATCACTCAACTTACCCTTGTAAATTTTTTTAGATAGACCCACAGTTAGATGACGAAGAAACCCGTTGGCTTTTCAAGTTTGTTTAGATAAAATTCAAGTAACCAATCTTTCTAAACAGAATACCACTGCTTTCAATGAGTCAAGTAGTTATTTAGAGGAACCAAAGCCTGATGTTTTAGTTTTTAGTGTAATCATGTAGCACTGTCAGAAACTAATCCAATATTTTCAGACCAAAATTTTCGACCCAGTATACCGGATATGAATAAGCCTTACAGTTACTCATACCAGGGTAACAAAAAGAATCTCATATCAGGTATACGGAACATGAACTTATTACCAAAAACTCAATTCCTGTTTTTTATCCTGAACTGTTTCGCTGCCGGATTAGCTCTTACAAAACTACAGCACTTTCAAATGGTAATCTTTTAAACCTTGTCTGCAAAGATAAAATGAAAAAAAACTGGGTCTCACTAGATAACATCTACTGTCAAAATGCTTAGCCACAAAAGCCACAAATAACTTTAGAATTTAAGTGATTCGCCTTCTAGCAATCGCATAATTAGCAAAAGAGTTACAGAATCCTCTTAACAACGAGCTGTATGGGAAAATAGAGAGCAACTACTGTTTGGGAATGCTTAATCAAATTTTCATTTTACAAGAAACGGCTGATTAAAATTCACTTCCACTTTCCACATTTTTTAAAACTAAGAATTCTGCATTTCTCGCGTATCCTTGACCGCAAAATTCAGATTTAAGGAAACAGTAGCCAAAACAAAGCTTTTTTTTCAACTTCACGATCGATAAACCTCAAGACAATTAAAAATGACAGAAATAAAAACTACCAAGAAAGAAATTTGCTTCACAGTCTCACAAAATAATTAAAGCGACTAAATCACCGAAAACTATGATTAACAACGGCTTTTTTGAGCATCCTCCTTTAGGAGAACTGACTTCAAACCTACCATCAAGAAAAACCTTCATTGAAAAAAACTTTCTCATTTTCAACTTCTTTCCATGGCAATTCAGAGACCACCACTCATTTTGTTCCTTCATAGATTTTGAAACATTAGTAATTTCTGCGCGGTGTCATTATCCATTGAGAAATCTAGTCAGCAATATAACTACAAAAATAAGGAATAAGAAGAGTCAGCAGCGAACGCATATTTCAGAAGAAACACTTAAACTTCTTCCTAAAACTTTACAGAATAGTCACTTCAAAAACAACCCTTTTAATTGTCATTACACTGAATGTAATAATAAGCTTTTATTTTCCAAGAACAGCAAGTACACCACTTTGGTTACTTAATGAGACCCTGAGAAATCACAGTTACACCTTGCGATTTCAATACAATGGCTTCAAGAAATTGAGGCAACTATATAACCTTCACAGAGAAACTGAAGGACTAAAAACAACCGTGCTATTTCAGATATTTTACCTATTTATACTGCTTCTTCTTTTTGCGACACTCTTAACATTTGGTACAGGAATCTTCTGGCACACCAAAGACCAAACAGAACAAAGGAAACCCACTGTACCACCATTCTCGCCTTTCTCCACTTTAATTGTCATTTTCATATTAATATTCACCTTATATTCAACCAAATTTATAGTCGCGATAGTTTGGACCAGTTGGCTTTCAGTTGGTAAGCTCTCATTTAAAATGCGAGACGAAACTTCTTTACGTAACCCCCTGCAAGCTTTTGTACATCATGACAGAGTCATTATATATAGGGATCAAAAAAGTAATTGTCCAGCTAAACCTGCAACGAGCAACAACTCTAGGTCCTTCAAAATATCAATATCAGAGCATGCACACTCTCAATTGCTGAAGTGACAAACCTCTAATTTTCGCTCAGGTATTTTAATATTTTTCGCCTACGGGTTCTGGAACAGCAAAGCTGCAAAGTCGGATGGTGCAAATTATTTCCATGAACAATCTCTAACGACGAGACTGATCCCCGTCGCCACGAAACCACTGAAGAACGAAGCTAACAAAGGAGCCCACCTCCCAAACTTCCCAACC